GGTTACGTCCGTGTTCTTCTACCGAAATGCAGCAGCTATATCAGTGAAGACATTCGCTCTCCATTGTGAACGATTGCATCATGTTTTCAGAGAGTGTAGTCATCCCGCGCATATTGTCCGGCAGTTCCGTGCAGGACATTCGGGGCTCAAGCGAATGAAAGCGTTTGTCCGAAGTTACGTGTATTGGCCGCTTATGGAGAGATAGCTGGAACAGCTAGCCAGAAGTTGTATCAATTGTGCTATCGCTTTAAGGGAATCATCAAGGTCTGAACTCCATTCGTGTCCAAAACCAACGAAACCTTAGAGCCATGTTCATGTCAACTTAGCAGGCCCAACCAACGGTCTGAACTTTTTTATTGTGGTTGACGCTTACAGCAAATGCCTGAACTGTTCCTCATGAACACCAGGAAAACCAGCACAACGGTCTTAAGCTGGCGACAAATCTTCAACAGGTTCGACTGCCCTGAAACATTGGTGACGGACAGTGAAACATAGTTTACTACGGCCCCATTCACGGAGTTCTGCAAACGCTGCGTCATCAAACACGCGTGGTATGCACCATTCCAACCACAATCGAACAGCCAAGCAGACATTTGCGGATAAATACAAACGCGCTCCACTCAAATCGAGAAGGGAGGGAGATTTGGAGGTGAATGACCGGTTCCGCCTTCTATACCGATCCACAAACGCCGGATGGAGTATCACCAGCAGAGGCAATGCTGAACAGAATGTTCTGCATATCCTTTGATGCAGTCCGACCATCCCCAGAGCCAAAGACTGGTAAAAGAAACCTCACGATGGAACGTGATTTCAGTTGGTGGCATGGTGCGAAGCATCGGTAGCTTAAACCGGGGCAGTCGGTACTTCTATGTGAATATGGGGATGGACACGCAAAATGGACGCGCGACAAGATTAAAGGCAAATGCGAGAATGTCATTTACGATGTGATGGTTGGAACGCAGTTCTTGGTACGCCATGCAAACCAGCTGCGAGCAACGCTATATCAGCTAGAAGCAACAGAACCTGCCAAGCTCCCATTTGACCTGTTGGCAGACAGTTTCAGCTTACCCAAGGGATCGGTGGAAGAAGACTGTCAGCCGAAGAATGATATCAGACCGCAGAGCCCGGTACTCGATTCCAGAGCACTTCAGCTAAGGCGATGGACTGGCAGACGTAGAATACCGACCAGGAGGCTTCAAGTCAACCTCAGACTAACACCATACACCACGGCAGCCGTCTCAGGAGAAGTAACCAGGAGAAAAGAAAAAAACATCAAGGAAAATCCGTTATTTCAGCAAATAATCAATTAACTTCGATTATACAGTGACTGCAGACTCCGTAACCTCCAATGCCTTTAGGTGACACCCAATATACCGAGGGTTGGAAATGAAGCTACCGATCCTAACAGTTGACCTTCGTTTTCTAGAAGCCGAAGATTTTTATGCGGCCTACAAATTTGATCAAGGTCTGACACCGTAGTACCGCGTTTTGGTTAACACGGTATTCGCACCCAAGGTCGTTGGACTCTTGACTTTCTTCGATTGGGTTAGAAGTCTTGCGAAGAATTTTTGGTGTTTAATTCGGAATATCGTGACCATAAAGTTGCCTAACAAAAGAAAGAAATCCATAATGTCGAGTGACTGTTCTAGGAAGGTGGAAACTAGTGACGTATCAGCTCATCCTGTAGGAAAGCTGAGTAATTTCTGGGTCGAACTCAATCCTTGTGCACACGATTCTGGAAAGATGCTGCAAGGTGTGGTATGTGCTCAGCGCCTACAGAACGCAATTTTATACCGCACAAATGGGCCTAGAAGTCGGTTCGATAATCAAATAGGTTGTGAGGGGAGTATTCAATCGGAATGGACAGATGGACTCGAGGGAAGAACCTGAGAACCAATCGAACGCGAATGTAACGGATGCGGTTACTGGACACACTTGATGGGTTGATATTAAGCGAGGCTACAATGCGGCTTTTTGTTGTTGGTTTAACTGTCAAAAGAAGAACCTGATCAGTTTAGAAAGGTCCTGCTAATGGGATCGGACAAGCAGCCTATGTCGGGAAGTTTGCAGGTCCATTGTGCCATCTATTTCGTTAATTTGTTGCTCACCACTGAAGGAGTGTTTTCTGCAATAACTCTACAGTGCGCTTCAGTAAGAAATATGTTTTTCAAAACCTGGAAGCGGTCAAATATGGAGTGGACAAGGCAGCAACGTGGCAGGTTTTAATGTAATTTGGATGTGATTCGTAGCAGGGAGGTGTGACATCTAGTTCCAACGTCGGCTCAGGCGATTCGGCAATCGTAGCAGGCCTGCCGAAATTCTCTTCAAAATGTTCCGCCCAATGGGCTAGTCGATGAAACTGAGAGTGGATGAACTGGCCATCAATTTCACCTACTTTCTCACCAACTGAGCGCTTTCTTGTACTGGTGCTGCAGACGAGCAGGAGCAGCAATTGACAGTTCGTAACAGCACTGGCTTTCGTCATCTCACGGGCACTATCCACCCACCCACGTTCCCGGTCAATTCGAAGGTTTCTTATCAGGCGTCGTTACAAAGAGTTAAAGGACTTGCTGAAACTCAGCACCCATGTTAATCTGTCTCCGTGCATCGATTAAACGGATCGATGCCTGGGAGATTCATTCACAGTTCAGACGTCTCAAATTGGGTGCACAGTATGCGTCAAACGAATTCTTCATGGTATCTTTGAGACAATCCCAGTCAGGATTCGGCTCACCAACCTCATCCCTCACAGATAATTGGTAGGTCAGTTCATCACGATATTGTCGAACTGGGAGTTTAAGTAACAAGTAAGAAGCTTATAAATTAAGTAATTCTTCAAAGCAGGAGTTGTAAACGCAAGGCGTGAGTGCACTAGAACATCGTCGAAATAGACACGCGCTCCAAGTTAACAGACAGTCTTGGACTGATGTGCGCCATCTGTAGGTGATGGCAATATGGTTAACTTTAGTCTAGATTGGCGAGGAATTTGGTGGGTGATAGATGAGACGATGTGATCCTTTGTGCTGAAAAGCAGTGCTACTACTATAAAGATTGTGGTTGGCGCACAGTTGCAGTAATCGAAAGCCATTATCTGTTCAAAGTGCATCGATCCCGAAGTGGACTCTCAGGTGCTGCTCTGTCCGAAGGGTGACCCAATTGGGCATTCAAGTCAATAGTAACAATCACGAGGTCCGTATTTCTCGCTATGCAGAGAAGAGATGGTGATTCACGGTATAAATCCTCCCCGAACTACCGGCCTGTGGCCTTAGGGATCACAAGCCTACCTTCTAATCTGAGGTCGCAGGTTTGAGCCCGCGTGGGGGACCAGGCGACTCTCGCAGTATCTCTAACCCATGCGCGACTAGTGGTGGTTGCGCGGTGTTAGACCCGTTTGCAAGTTTCTAAAACATCCGTTCTTGGTATCGTACCTTTGACCTACATGTACAAGCCTAAATACACACCACGTGATCTACACACAGACGTCAAAACAGTATATTAACATCTATCCACTACCACGTCGGCGCGTCAAAGCATGACAACCGTGGGCGACTGGGAAAGCATCTTAGCTCAGACCCAGTCACAAAGCGGACATACTTATGTTGCATCAAGATGCAACGCACACACAACTGGACGACCGGATAACGGAAGCGTACACATCTGTCCAAGTGTTCAAGGCTCGACCGCAATCTGACTTGGACTCACAGCGCCCATACAATCAAATGTGATAAGACTCTCTCTTTTATATATGTTTGACTTGGACAACAGTATTATTTATAGTAGTGTCTAGCCTGATTTTGTAACCAGTCTCAATTAAAGTAGCACCAATATACGCAGCAAAGCGTCCGTACTGTTGACGCCTTTTGCCGAATTGCAGTCAGTGGTCGTATACATGGAAGCGAGGAAAATGCACCTTGTTTCCAAGTTCCAAGTCCAACCGCACACTTGTGGTACCCAAGCGACTAGATTACTCTCAGCATGTTTGCTGAGGGTAATAACGACACCATTGACTCAGTATCGCAAGAGACGAGAAGGCTGTGACCATTATCGGCAAATTTGGAACTAGGAAGTCGAACATTCGTTATAACGCCATTACATTTTATGTGAAATGAGACTATTGGGTTGATGAACGAGCTAAAAGTATCGATGGCAGCAGCCGCGAGGTCAGCGGAAGTCTCTTGTTCAACAGAAGAAGATAGGAGAGAGAAAGAGAAGAATAAGATGTAACGTCGATGGGGTCAATGTGGCCATTTTCCAAGAAATTAAAGAGCATAGAGCAGGAAGATTTGGGATCCCAATAACGAGTTGGAAGTAAGTACGCAGGATTAAAAGGTTGTAAATATCCCAAGAAGGCCATAAAAAACAGTCTCTTACCATTCTCTAAGTTTTAAATTTGTGAGAACCAGGTCTGCAATTACAAATTTGTGCCAAGTGTGCCAGTTCCGGCCCGTGGCTGAAGGGACAAGACGTCTGCCTTGCAACCCGGGGACCGTGCGACCCTCGCAGTATCCTTGGCCCACGCGCGACTGGTGATGGTTGCGTGGCAGCGAAGCGTCAGTACGGCGTGCAGGCGTACTGCTGATGCCTTTTGCTTTTTAAGTGTGACAGTGGCTAGTAAGTGGCGCATAGTAGCTGGGGTGTTTTCACCCCTAGGAAACGTACACACTGATGAATGATGTTAACTGAACTGGGTGGTTTAATCGAGATGACCCAAAAGCAGAGACGCATTGTGCAAAGGTGTCAACTGTCTGTGGATATGGAATTCGTAGTGCAGTAAGAACTGCAGCTGGTTTCATTGAGAAAGGTAGGAAGGTTAGTTAAGCAATGTCAGTAGTTCTATCTAGGCAGGAGAGCGTATCGCAACTCACTCAATTAAGGTAGAATCGATGCGGAGAAACTCAAGACATGCAAAGTATACGACAGGACAACAACCACACATACAGAGGATAGAGGTCGTGCGACAGAAACCCAGGAGAGCGAATATGGCATGTGGATGAACTTACCAATGGAAACGCCGAGGAGCACGTAGCTGAAGTTACGATACAGTTTGTGTTTGATCAGATTGTGCCGCATTCGTGTCTCGCGAAGTGTGCGAGCCAAGTAGATGAATATCCACCACATTATACCCACATCTAAGCACAGGAGAGGGAGTAAAGTAGCCAGACGGAAATACGTGGTCACGAAGCGTGGATGAGCGGCTCGAGTGAGGCCTTCAATAGTGACCAAGAAAAAGTACACGAGACCGATTAACAGACAACGACGGAACCAGATAGCACCGAGCCGAGGCTTGGTAACACCGTAGCTGCGGGAAGAAAAACAAAATAAAACGTGTCAGATACGAGTGATGTGCCAGCGATTTAAGCAACCATCGGGATTCAAAACGTAAGCATTAATAAAGCGTAGTTACAGTTTGCAGTTGATCGACTGTGATCTGAGCACCGAAGTGCGGTGAACAGAGTTTCCACGACTCACATCGAAAGGTTAAGAATAAATAAGGACGGCAAGATATAGAGGTTAAAGGGAAATAGAATGCAAAGAAAGTAAAATAAGGAGAAGGAAATGTGTTAAACCAATCAGAATGGAACGAAAATCAATAAGCAGATGCAAGAAAGCGAATGCAAGAACGCCACTGACTGCGTGATTGTACCATGTCGGATAGCGTCTGCAACTATTAATGTGAGACCTGCCGGGGCCCCTATCCACGAAGACTGCATGCACCACCCAGACTAAGTCTCTCAGTCAATTTGTTCAAGCCTCTGTGCCGCGTCATGAATTGGCCACCTCGCGGTTTCACCCAACTTGGTGCAGCCACGGCGTATAATACACGCCGAAGAAGCCGGTCAACGGGCATACGGAGAACATGACCTAGCCAACGTAAGCGAGTAAGATTCAGCAAACACTCGAGTAAGGCACCAGAAAGTTTCTTGCCAAAAACCAATTGACGACCTCAGCGTTGCGCACCCGGTGTTCATACCAGACGTGAGCAATACTCCCCAGGAACCGATGATCAAACACGGCTAAGCACTTAACGTCACTACGAACTGGCCAGCTTTCTGACCCAATACAGTAACATTGGTCTTATCGCAGTGTTATACAGTCTACCTTTCACTCCTAAGCTAATGTCGGGACGTCTCCATCAATGGTTGAGCCTTTAGAAAGTCACACGGGTCTTGCTGATAAGCGAAGTAACTTCCTCATTATGTGACTACCAAAGGTGGCACACCTACCAACGTAAGTGAACCGGTCCACCACTTCCAGTGGCTGTTCGGAGATACCTAAAACCGGAGGTGTGTCGGTCCAGTGCTGCAAGAGTACTTTGCACTTTGAAGGTACAGATTGCATGCCGAAGCGTGCAGTGCTACGCACAAGTCTATGCAGTAGTGTTCGCATAATGAATGCATCAGATCCAAGGAGAACAATGTCTTCTGCATGGTGCAGGTTTGTTAGTCGGTCACCTGCCAGTACACCCCCACCAGAATAGTCTGAGAACCGAGTCGTTCACGATCATTTCGATAACAAAGTTGAAGAGGAGAGGAGATATGGGAAAACCATGGAGAAGTCCACTTGTCGTGGGGAAGAGTTTCCCGTAGACTCATACACAGCATCGGGAATCAAAGTAGAGAGACTGCATAATGGAAAGGAGTTTAGCCGGCATGGTCCTCATGGATAGGCAGTGCCACAAGGTGGCGCGATTAACTGAATCGAAGGCGTTTTTCAAGTCAAGGAAAATCAGCAGAGTCGGTCACCTGTGTGTGGCCAGTGTAGAAACGGGTTAGTGAAGCCAAGACTTTGGAATGTAGGCAAGCGTTTCCGCAAGCTTACATCCCAGGGTTCGCGCACTCGGTGGGACCAAGGGACTCCGGCATGTGTCAGTGAGACTTCCACAGGGGCTGACAAGCGTTGTCCGCATCCAATACTGCACTCCACGACTGGTTTCGCACATTTCTACGTTCGTCAAGTAAAGAACGTCGGTCGGTTGCCGAGTGGTCTGCATGCCTGGTTTGCGGTCATCGGTTGGAATCCGCAAAAGGGGAAACAGCGGAACACGTGAGGTAGAGCAATACGTTTCCGCGCGAACAAAATGATTATATTTCGACAACAAAATAAGCATTACATTTCCTCGAAGTACTGTTCACCAGTGTTCATGCACACTTCCAAGAGTTCAAATCATTTGGAGAAGGAGCTAGACCATAACGAAGCGAGTAATCCTTTATGCAGTTCAATAAAGGCCCCTACTGCAGCTTCTGGAGATCCATAGCGCATTCTTTGCATCATGCGCTTGACATTTGAGAACACAAAAAGTCACTCGGAGCCAAGTCTGGACTGTAAGGTAGATAGGTGACCAGCCACCTGGATACGTTCTCTAGAAAGAAAATCTACGACGACTTGGGACCCGTGTGCGAGTGCGTTGTCATGGTGCAGCAGCTACGTCCTTCGAGTTAGAGTCGTTGAACGACGCCTGGCTACAGCTTCCAGCAGTTGTGACAGACAGTGGGTAGTATACCAGTCTCTGGTGAAGGTGCGTTGCCGTACGAGCCGTAGAATAACCACATTGACCAGTCTTGGTCACGAACACAGCCACCATTTGCTTGGTCCCACATCGCTCACGCCGGAATTCCTGAGGCGGCGCCTCACCAACAGCCGTCCACTAAGCCGATTGTTGTTTAATCTCTGGGTCGAAACTGTACACCCAGATCTCAACATCACTGAGGATCTCCCAAACAGCATTGCAACGTCTACCATCAAAGCTGGCAAGCATGATGCAGCATCAATTCAACCGAGTTGCTTTCTGATCCTTACTGAGCTGATGGGATACCTAGCGTGCACATTTTCTTATGAGGCCGAGATTCGCATGTAGGATGATGTGAATTGATCCGGAGGAGATTCCGATGGATTTTCCCAACTGCACTACAGTTACCCGCGCGTTCGTCTCTAGCATCGCTTGCACAGCAGCAACGTTGTCCGCAGTGGTAGCCTCCACAGGTCGAGCACACATCATCCAGGGAGCACCACCTGTCACGTTTGAATTCCACAAACCACTCAAACACGGTGGTTCTAGGAGGTGCATCACCACCAAACGCAGTACGCAATCTCTCGACACTTTGGTGCTGCTTAAAACTACGTTAGTTGTAAGAGAAAATCATCGCCCTCCAGTGACATCGACTGGGTTCCATACTTACAGTCAGAGTATAGCGACCCGTATGGCTTGTGAGCTGTGCTGGACTGCTGATGTAAGGTTTGGTGAATTGAAATCACTGAACAATATTAAGAATGAATCACAGTTCCCATGTTTCTTGTTAGGTCATCTGCACCCAAACTGTGTGTTGCGTATCCGCAGCACCGCACTTATTGCTCCGCACTCGTATGAGGGGGCAACACCCAATATTTATCCGTTTCTGATAACGTCCCAATGGCCGAATTGATCGACGTGCGGTTAGAATTGAGACCCAGTGTCTCAAAATGACCCTTCACCCACAATGCACAGGGAGTGTTGACAAGAGAGAAGCGATTGGATTATTCACTGTGCTAGCAGGCTGCGAGGTGGAGGCTCAGCCACGAGGAATCAGTTAAAAAAGAGTTACAAATCCGCCATTAAGACCATGTGAGAATGCATTAGACTTAGCGAGGTCCGTCAGTGCTAGTAGACCAGTGGTTCTCAACCTCTTTGGGGCTGCTATCCATAAAGTGCGTCCAACAAAAACAATCACCCCCACCCCAATTATCTATGAAAAAGGATTTAACCGTCCGCTGCTGTATAATTTTGCTGTAAATTACAGGAAATCACTTTGTTTTCAATGAAATTCCATTACTGAAACTGAAAACTATTGCTGGGCAATTTTGTCTGTAAATCAAGAGATAATGTAACTTACTGAGATTCTTGATATGGTTAAGTTTCAGTAAGTACCCGTAAAGTTTTGTGTAGTTTCAGGTAGTGTAGGTCGTAACTCGTGTTCCAAGTCCAGTATGTTTCTCGTTTTGTTTCCATTGTTGATAATTAAACATTTTGTTTAGTTATTTATAGCAGCAAATCCACTTTCATTATTCATTATCATCATACACGTTAGTTAGAGGTGGGAAATACACCAGTTACTGTGCCTCAACACATAAAAGAAAAAAGGGAAAAAGTGCAACAGATGCAAGCCAGCTAAGCTACGGATGGGACTCCTTCCGGTAAGCTACCAACCGGTTAATATGCAGCAAAAAATTTAATTTGTAAAAGTTTATAAGGCTAAATAATGAGATCGTGGTTGGAGGGGGAACGGTAAGAGGGATGGGGTGCGACAAAGAAACTCACAGCAAGGACGCCAATGAGGTCGGCTCCCAGCCATATCAGCAAGTGTATTCAGCCAAACGTGTGCATCGTCTTTCGGACCCCAAGGAGGGAGCCGAGACGCTCCAACCGAGGCCAGCTTCGAAGTGAGAGTCTTCATTCCTCTCGACCAAGTCATCGCTTGGCCACCCCTCCTCTTCTTCTATCCACACCCCAGCGCAAAGACAATGCACGTCGCGGAATTCCGTGGGTTGGCATGCGTAATACGTGACCGAGCCATCGGAGCCTGGTGCGTGAAATAACGGTGCTGAGCGGTTCATTTCCCTTTCCTTTACCGTAAACAAGGCGTCGAACACGCTCGTTGCTCATGCGGTGTTCCCACCAGACGTGAGCTAAATTGCGAAGACACCGGTGATCGAACGTAACTAGCCTCTTCATGTCCGCTGATTTAATGGGCCAGGTTTCACAACAGTACAGTAGGGTCGAACGTACCGCTGCATTGTACACTCTACCCTTCAGGGCGAGAGTGATGTCGCGCCGGCGCCATAAGTGGCGAAGGTTAGCAAAAGTGCCTCGAGCTTTTTCTACACGGTTCGTGATCTCATCACCAATCCCACGGGCGTCGATACAACTTCCCAGGTAGTTGCATTGTTGAACGACTTCTAGCTGATTCCCACCAACGGTCAGCGAAAGAGGTGGCCCAGGCAAATCTTGGAGGAACGCTTTGCACTTCGACGGTGCAAAGCAAAGCCCGAAGCGGCTGACTACCAGTGCTAATTTGTCCAATGCCGCTTGGCACGTCTGGGAGGTGTCACAGATTAGGGCGATATCCTCAGCATACTCTAAGTCAAGAAGTCGTTCTCCTGGGAGCAGATCCACACCTTCTAAGTCGTGTCCTGTAAATGCGATTTCTATGACTTCATCAATAGCGAAGTTGAAGAAGAATGGTGACAGCGGGCATCCTTGTCTCACACAACGGGAAATAGTAAAGGGCGACGGCAGCATGCCGTAAGCCCTCAGCCTGCCTGAGCTACGCGCGTGTAATGATCGGATAATACTTACATATTTCGCAGGTACACCTTTCCTGCACAGACAGTCCCAAAGTGCACGTCTATCCACCGAATCGAATGCACCTTGGATATCGCGGAACACGACAACGGTGGACCGCAAATATATAAGACGGTGCTTCAACAACTGACGCAAAGTGCAGCCACAACCTGGACCAAACCCTGCATGCTCTTCACGAATATGGCTTTCACACGTGCCAGTCAGTCTGTGAAGGATGACAGAGGCAAGTAATTTGGAGGCGATGGAGATCAGACTGATTCCTCTATGGTTGCCGTAATCCGATCGCGAGTCTCAATTGAAAATTGAGACTATGACGGGGCAAGTCGATTAGGTTGGGACAGTTCCCTACTCCGATAGCTTCACTAATAACTCGTATAAATCATCCACAAGAGCAAGTCCCCAGAATTTGAAGAGGGCTGGATGGAGATCATCTGGTCCTGCGGTATTATTTAACTTCAACACTGCGATTTCACATTCGACTTCTGAGCGAGAGGGTAGATGCAAAGGGACAGCCCACGGAGCGGGGTGATCAGTGGCAGGAGAGAAATCAAACAACTCTGACCGATTAAAATGCCTCTCAAAGTGCTCAACCCAACGCTCCAAGCGTTTTGACAAGTTGTGGATAGGCTAACAACTCTAGCCACGTATAGTTTTACTAACACCGCGTCTTCTGCTGCCCGTTTCCCGTATCAGACGGAATAACTTACGATGGCTACCAAGGGCAGCGGCGATTTCGCCCGGAGCTCTTTGCGAGTTTCATTGTGTTCGCTTCCAGCCGGAATATGCCTGCGAGCATCTATAACTTCCAGAGGCTGCGATGAGATTCAACGTCCATGTTGGCGATTAGAATTGCCACATGAGGATTTGCCTGCTGCTAACAAGGTCCGGTGAACATGCGACCAGTGAGCTTCAACTGCATCCCGTGAGCGCTTACTCAACTCGCACGACAGCGTACTTTAATAGACATTCAGAACAGCTGGCTTCGCCAGTTCGCTGGTGTCAATGCGCTCACAACGTCGTCGTGGGCGTCAGCCAAAACGCATCCGCAGGTCAGCACATACAAGTGCATGGTCCGTGTCCACACATGTGCTCCAAATCGAGCGACAGTTCTGCACGCAGCCTCTCCATCGGTAAATTATCGCAATGTGATCGAGTTGCAACCATATCTGCTTCGAGGCTGGTGGGCACCAAGTCACCCTCCGGCGGGTGCTGTGTCGGAAATTAGTGTTCGCAGGAAATAAGCGAGCATCTTCACACAAATGAAGTAACCGCTCACCGTTATCATTACAGGAGCCTACACCATGCTGGCCACTCAGATGCAGTTCATCAGTGGATAATTTTCCAACTTGGGAGTTCAGATCCCCAGTCAGCGCAACAGTGTCCGTGCTTCTTCTGTGGCGAAGGAGCTCATTCAGTTGGCCATAGAAGTCGGCCTTTACCGAATCATCGCTAGAGTTTGTGGGTGCATATGCAGCAATGATGAACAGACACCTGTTAGTCACGTGCGGCTTCGAAGCTTTGAACGAGAAAGCCAATCGAACCGAACACATCCGGCTACTGATTGGAATCCAGTCAACCAAAGCAGCTTCAGCCCGGGGACTCAGGGCAATACCAACACCGGCTTGGCCGGTGCTCGAAGCTGCATCGTCACCGGATAGGCGCAATGAGAAAGTGCTGCTGGCGTCACCTGAAAGGGATCGCAAAGTGAGCACAGAGCTCGAGTCTTGTAGGCGGGTCTCCGATAAGCAGCAGATATCGATCGAGAGGGTCTCTAATGTTCCGGCAAGTGCTTATTGTTGACCGCTTTGTAGCAATGTGCGCACATTGAGGCATGCCAATCTGAAGGAGGATCGAGGGATCCAAATGGAAGCCGATGAACTGCGCTTGACCGTTTGCTTGGACATGGGCCTGTCGACAGGGCAGGAATGACGCTCCGCGTTTTCATCTGTGTTGAAACTAGAAGGTAAACGCCTATCAAAGCATGTCGGGAAAGGGCCAAGGAGCGGGGATAAAAAACTAGAGGGATAAAAATGAAGTTGAAACCGGACGATAAGGGTGAAAAAGCGTAAGAGGGTGAATAAGAAGACGGGAAAGCTTGAGCAGTAGCATCCAAACCCTTATCCACCCTGTTCGATGCAGCAGATAGGGCACCGTTGATAATCCTCTGCTATGGCCAGAGCATCAAGTAACTGTTTGAGGCAAGATTCATAGTATTGCGGGGGCAGGATACTGATAGGTTTCCTAGGCCTAGACAGGAGAACGATTTGGGTTCTCAACCAAAGCCTTTGATTGAAAAACCTGACCGCAAGGCAGTGGGTTTGGCGTTGGGCTACAAGGAGTCCGTTTTAAGGAATAAGGAGCCACCCTCATTCCAACCCCAATATGGAGAACCAGGGGGCTGAGTTTGTCTGGGCTCTAACCATTGACGAATATGGTATGAGTGGCTCTGAAGGTGCAAAATAGCATCACCCAGCATAGCTCAATGGATCGCTGAAGCACGCAAACCATCGCATCACGGTATGGTCCAGTCTCACTTTCACACCCTTAAATTGCGGCGTATGGTATTAGTACTTTCAATGCTGTTTGGCGATAACAATGGTTACTCGTCACCAATGTTCGCCCAAATGTTGTGGGTGGTGTGTTTTCGAAATCTAGTTTCGCGAAATCAATTTCAGCTTTTGGAAATATTACTTCAGCTCGCGTAAAAGGTCTTATCATTCATGAATTTAAATTGCGATTTTCCAAATCAGGAAAGTAGTTGCGTTCAATTAAATACGTCCCATGATTTTGCTTCACGTCCACATAGGTATGATGTGTTCAGCAGTTTGTGAAATCGGCGGCACCAACCTCACATAGAGAAATTATACCTAGGGCGGGGAATGAATGTCTGACACAAAAACTATCCACGAGCTAGCGGATAAACGCGCCATCTAGCAGCGCTGTGGTGCAGGCTTGTGTTCGTATTTCAGATAATGGCATTTATCACATGAAACGGTCTAGTTCACTAAGCAGTCACTGATCATTCGTTACTAAGGCCTAAGCATTAGTGATTTGATAGATGATCTGGTAAGGATGATTTTGTTTATACGTTTGTTCCGTGACAATGAGAACCCTTGTAGGTATTTTTACCACTCGGAAAATCTCACTGTATCCCTCTGGAGGTAATTATCCCTAGGTTGGGAACTACTGTAGTCGTCAGTAAATATCACGCTAATGTTCTGATAGGTTGGCAGAGAAAGCCTAGACACAGGCCATAAAAGAAGCTAAGCAGAAGCGAGAATCAGAGCTAGATCACAATGAACACACAAAACTCGCTGGTGTCACAGCGTAATGAGCGTCTCTGACAAGCAACAGCCGCAGACCAGAGGACCGCAACATCCCAATCTGTCACAGTGTGTTGGACCCAGATCAATAGAGTGCTCAACGTAAAGGCGGTAACCACCCAGTTGAGCAGAGAACGCTGCAAATATCGCAGAAGACGAAAATTGTGTAAGATGTAACGCTGTGAGTCATCGACATGGAACGACCACTGCGGGGTACCAATGAGAGCAAATCGGTGAATGGAAGACGAAGCACATGGTGGTCGAATCTAATGCAAAACGGTGCGGGGAACACATGTGTTCAAATAGCGGTCACTGAGAGCATCGCACACATAGAGATCGCGCAATCTTCATCGGCACACAGTATTCCGAAAAAGATCAGTTGTAAACAGCGGACGAGCTAGTAGCCAAATACAGTAGTGATAGTCCCCTTAAGCGGTGTTAGATGAGGTAACTGAATCGTAACAGATGTAGGGGGTAAAACAAGAACAAACTCACCCAAGACAAGCAATGAGCACCAATAACCGAGCCAAGGTGCGTTTGGAGCAGGCAATCATCTCGGCAAAGTAGACTGCGGACGGTGAAACCTGGCCCGACTTTCGGATAGTCTCGAAGATAGCAAACAGGGTGAGGTGTTCCCACAAACCGAGCATGAGAACCACTCCGATGCAAAATTGGATGCGCATCACATCGTGCCAATAACGGATGAGGAGAGTCAACCAGATGGTTACGGAGATCAAATAGAGTAGACCCATGACTCCGTTGAACTAAAAACGGATCAGGAGCAGAGTGGAAATGTCGGTACGAAAGTGGTGAATCGGCATTCAGCGACTAAACTCGGTGGTATGCAAAACGAGATGGATGCAAGTTGGCCTCTCATGTAAATCGATCCACGGGAAAGACCACCAGTGGTCACACAGAGAGGATGAGTGGAGTGGGTTTGAATCGTGTAGGCCATAGTGGTCACAAAGCAGTAAGTGTGTGTGTGTGTGTGGGGCACAGATTGGTGCGGTGTGATCTGTGGGCTCAAACTGAGAGTATGTCAACCAAATACGGGTGGTGGATGGTTGCATTTTGCAAAAAAGGCAGGAATGGCAATAAATGTGCACCACCAACTACACCATTTCCCGGCCAAGTTGTCCTCTTGGGCAACAGAAATAATCTGAGGGGGCATTCAGCTTGAGTCTACTCAATTAATTTGTTCCGTGCGTAGGAGCTGAAGCGTCCCACCTGCATCCCTATGACTTAGTGCGTCTGAGGTCCAATTGGCTGAAGGCGACGGGCTATACACGCACACCTACACACCTGCACAAGTGATTGGCGTACGCACGCAACAAATTAATTGAGTAGACTCATGTTGAATGCCCCCTCAGATTATTTCTGTTGCCCAAGAAGACAACTTAGCCGGGAAATGGTATAGAGTTTCTAGCTAGAAATAGATCGAAGAAAATGGAAACCGTAGAAAATCGTTTAGCAAATATACCTGCTCTGTTTCCTTATTGGATCATCAGCTATCATGTGACAAGTACAAGTCAAGGGGAAACGTTGAAGTTGGCTACGGTATACCTCAAACCAACTCAAAGGGATCCTTCCTCGGATGGCACCCACTAAGTTTGAGGGAGAATGAAAGTTGGGTAGCGCACATGCGGAAAGCCACCGGAATTGATCGAAGTAGCGTTCCGAACCAAAACCCCAGCATATCAAAGTATCGAGTCATTATGAGCAAAGACACGAAAAATATACTCATTATCAACCGATTATGAGTCGAGAAGTGAAGAGTAAAACGCTATACTGAACTGAACTGCAGAAAAAGAGCGTATGACCATTTCATAAAAGTGTGTGAAAGACTGAACTGCTTTGCATCAAGCCGATGTAGAGAGCAAATACTGAAATAACTAAGGTGGGAAGGGAGCAGTTGCGAAGTCTGACGCAACCTATTATGGATTAAATACAGAAGAAGTTTGAGAAAGAGGGGAAGAGGAAAGAAAAAAGCACTGCTGATAGCGACTCGTGAGCGGTCTGATGCTCCCCTGCAGCTTATTCTGAAATCAGGGCCTAGCACCAGTCTCCCACTTCTTGCCCCTCACCTATGAACATTGCGCACAAGACAATGAAGGCACTTTCAGCTCGATTTGCAATGAGATGGAAGCACCAAACCCAGCCTCAACAAGGATGAAAATGAACCTAATGCCGAATTTACTTGATCTCCAAGTAATGACTTGTCTGATGTAACAGACGCTGAGGGTACTTAGAAAGTACCACTCGGCGCAGTCCACTTGGACATCGCACCACAAAATGGTCTAGGCTCATTATGAGGGGCAAGCTAATTAAAGCGATTAGCACGGGTAAAAATGCCCAGAACCTGTGTGCAAAAACAGCAGCGTAAAACAGCGTGCCTTGATAGCACGAGGTGCTCCAAATGGTGCTAGGTGTTAGCGATAAATTTACCACGCAACTGATCACTGGATTCCCACCAACTATTCATTTATCCCTTCGGTGTTTTATGGTTACATGCCCTCCCGACATAAGTGTTATGCAATTCGCGACATGAATAACACGATTTAATGCTTGACTCCAACCAGCTATTCGCCCACCCACTCTGTGGCATGGTTACATGCCAGCTGACATAACTATTATGTAATTACTAAGATGCGTGTCGGGATCTCAAGGTGGATGATGATCAAAGCAAACGCATGCCCAATTTGATGAACGCCGGCTTACCGATTACCTCTCATGTGATGTCATATCGATGTTGCTATGGGTTCACTTCAACTCTCACGGGGACCGGAAAAAAATTGTGTGCACGAAAAATGCTTACAGCAAAAAGCGCATACGAAAAATGCGGACACGGAAAAAAGCCTACACGGAAAATTGCACCCTCAAAATATGGCACACAGTATAGGATGAACACGGAAATACACCAGTTCGATTGACTTGCACATAAACGACTGCCCAACGTACCAAATCACCCATGACCCAATCAGAATAGTCAACAGATAAAACACTGTTTGCCTACTGTATTTGGCCGAAGCCTCAGCAATTCGGTGGCTCTAACGCACTTGGTGTGACCAGATCAAGTTGGTGAACATTTTATAGTGGTAGGTACCGAAGATCAGTCCAGAAGCACGGAATCATGAACACCGGATAATCGTGCTAGTTGGTAAAGCGGGGACAGCAGCGCGTCGTAGGGGTGCGAAGAATTGGTCCGTGGGCATGTTTTTCGGTTTACTAAAAAGGTATAAACAGACAGTCTACATTTCTCATCGGCCGTCTAAGTGCGCAACAGAAGTAAGCTCCATTACAATTGTACACATTGAACTGATACGAACCGGGTACATCAAACTGCTACTAATTTTCCCTCCAAGCGAATTTTTGGGTGGGAAATTTACAACGTAAGCATCCTTCAAAGCTGAATTAGGGGAACCCGCGGTGAGGTTGGGTTGCAACACGCAACCTGTATTGTGACCTCGGTTCAATTTGAGCATCCTTCCTTATGCATTAGCATTGTGAGGAAATGGCGATCTGCCATCTGACGCAGTCACCAACTTCATCAAACCAAGGCTAGGGCTAGCCACAAACAGCCTGGTCACATCAAGTGCATTAGAGCCACTGAATTGCTAAGGCTTCGCCAAACTGCAGTAAGCGAACATTATTCTCTGTTGAGTATTCTGTTTGAGTCATGGGTGATTTGGCACGTTGGGTAGTCGTTTATGTGCAAGACGATCGAACTGGTGTATTTCCGTGCTCGTAGTATACCTAGTGTGTCCCTTTTGAGGGGGAAAGTTTCCGTGTATGCTTTTTCCCTGTACGTAATGTGCCGTGCAGGCTTTTTTCCGCGTACGCATTTTTCTTGTACGCTTTTTGTTGTACGCTATTTTCTTCTACGCTTCTTTGCGTACACTTTCATCATAGAACCCCTCTCACTGTGGAACTCGTTCACTCACACCGCGCAACCCGTCCAGACCCCCACAGCTCAGGCCTGAATCATGCGCACCCGCCCCAGGTTCCTACCATCCCTCCTCGGTTTGACTGAGCCAAGACATCCCAAGAGCCCAGCCCATCGCGTTCTCCTTCATACGCTGTATAGCGAACCAATAAGCCAAGGGTTAATGGACATAACAAAAGAAAGGTTGTAGTCCAACCGTGGACTCTGTATTGTGTGACTCTTTAGATATAGTGGTAAGCACCGTTTGCATTCCTCACTTTGGACATTGTAAACACAGGTTGTTTCGAAACTGAACGGGTATGGTCGCCTACACTAGGCGAACCGCTGAAGCAAATGATTAAACGTTATATTTCTCAACATAGCGACATAGTTCGTCTAGGTGGTCTGATCAATTTGTATGGTTGAATCGTCTTAGGTTATTATTTGTCCAAGTTGGTGAAGGTAGTTCCTAAACAGGTTGCTGAAGTGATCGACCCGTTTACCGCATTAGTAAGTAATAGACGTTGGTAGCAAGATCAGTAATGGTGAAATGAAACGTTCAAGCGAAGTAATACAATAATCCGTGGAACCGTCTTCTGTGGAACTGGTTCCAGGCGGGGTAGTCCCAGAAAAAGTTTCATCTGGTCTCCACGCCTATGCCATCGTGGTTCAAAAAAAAGTAAATAATGATGATAGCATCAACTCTTTAGAATCTTTGCTATATACCTATTGAAGAAGCCCTCCGTCCATACAGCCTGTACCACAATTCGACTTTTTCGAGTCAAGCATTTCTATTGCTCGCCAGTGAGTTTATGGCATGTCGCTTTGCGTGGGCTTACTGATTACCTTAGGAGTTGTAGTCGGTCACCTCAGATTAATCCATTTGTGGCCAATAATGAAAAAAGAAAAAGTATGGCAACAGAACTAAATAATAATAATAATAATAATAATAATAACAGACAAACGGTATATAGTGCGAAAGACAGCTCGACGGTTTGCTTGATTCTGTTGGTACGGATCGATAACGGAGAAATTAATCCAATGCATGACTCGCTGAAATCAGTATGTGCCGAAGCTAACGTATAATGCTATCGGACGATGATGGTCCAGCGTGAGAAGTCGTGGCTCAAAAGGCCAGCACTATCCGTCGCATGTTGAAAAGACGCAGACCATCGAAGAATGCGTATAAGAGCTATATCACAGTTAATCACGGAGTCACGGCGGCTGTCGCGCATCCCTTGTGGCTTACTGATCTTAAACATGGACGCGTAAAAGTTGGGTTGAGGGTTCTAGCCCAATGAGGAAAGATGAGATCCGCGTTGTTGACGATTCCTGAAGAGGTGAAACGGCGGTTTAGTGCTTTTCCGAACGAGCAGTGGTTATCAGATTGGGTTTGAGTGAACTCGTTCGAAAAATATTCAGTGTGTGAATAGCAAGAATGTAGGGAAAAGTCGAGTCAGCCTTATAAGATTCTCAATACGCATATAAGCGACGTAAGCTACGGAACAACGAAGGAATCTGTAGAGTCACACAGTTGTGGCAGTCATCAAAACGTTATCAGTCGCATGTCGTTTTTGGGTACATGAGCATAGCGTCAGAATAAAAGTGAAGTGTGGTGGTCAAAGCGAAGAGCAGGCTGTGAAATAATTTCAAAAGAAAAAGGGGACAATGCCACCGTGAAGCGGGGGATTCCGTATGTGCTACAAGAGACTATGTGGTCTGCAAGGGCGGTGAGAAGGAGAACAGAACGCGCAGAGTTTAGATTCGTTTGGTAGAACAACACGTGATCATGAAAGCCCGCATTCATAGACTCAAGTACACCTGTGCAAACCTGCATTTTCGGGTAAGGTCAGTCAGCAACAGTGACAGACCCAACCTAGGTTTAAAAATGGTTTGCCATCCCGATGCAAGCAGATTATCATGGTTTACCAGTTTTGTGCGCGACCGAGAACAAACAAGACCGAAATGGAAAATTGGCTACAACGCAATCAAGAGAACAACGTACCGGTAGAAATGGGAATTCAACAGCCGATAAATACGTTCCATCGGGGTTACGCATCTCAACTTCGACTGCAGATGTGAGGGATATACAAAACAACGCGTGAGTGCATACGATTGAAAAACATGTAATGTAAATAGCACAGATAAACACCGCGAGCATCTGCGGCAGGGAAAGCGAAAAATACATATAGACACGTTAGTCAGTGTCATTCCCAAGCGAATAATAATATTTTTACTGACGTCCCACCAACTCACAAGTCATACACACTAACAACCAATCCTAGGAGGGACCAAGCGACCGTTCCGCTCCATTGGAACTCGTAAACGGTGCGCATTCTCCAGCTTCATCAGAAATCGAACCCATGACTGTTAGTAGCCAGAAGCTTACGACCCTGAGTTATGCGGGACGGTGGCAGGCCATCATGAAATTTCCTACAATTGCAAAGGATGGTGACTGGCATCCCAGGTTACGATTTCCACCTCACAGCATCTATGTACACATAGCAATAATAAAGAAATTTTGCCCTCCCGGACTCCAAATTGTATTCGTACATAGCTGCGGTGTGGTGGCAGTTGGGATCTCTAGAGGCCAGTCACCGTTCATTGCAATGGTAGGAACCGGCATGGCGCGGTGGAGGACAAGACGTGGTACAACCCAGTTAGCTCGCAAGTTATGGGTTCGGCTCCACGAAGGAGATCGTAAGAATGCGTACCACAAGCGAGCTCCAGAAGGGCGAAAGGGCTGGCTAGTGCTGTTCCGGATTGATGGATAGACTACCTGGTTTCCGAGTTGTCGAGGTGAATCAGATAAATTGCAATGGAATAAGGGGAGTCGAAAATGGGGCAACGTTTGTCTACGCATGGAAGCACATTGTATGTAGAACATGAATCACAGAGTATGATAAAACTTCAAACGTGTGGGCTTAATTTACCACCACAATTGACAAAAACAACTACTACAACTACCGCTATTATAGGAGCAATGTCATTATAAAATCGCCACAAGAAACAGCCTGTCAGTCGGGTGTTACACGCCGCTTGGGCACGATCAGAAGTAATCAAAGAGATCTAAATTAAGATGGAGTTAATCATGCTGAAAACTCATTTATATAGGATTGTTTGTAGCGCAAAGATAGTGCGGGGTCGCGGAAAGCCGCCCATGATCAACAGATTTGGATTCCAGATGATTTTTGTCCTTAATGGGATACTTGTTTCGCGCATGTCTCAGCCAGTGAGGACCTGCGTTATGTGAACAAGTCGGATGATCAGCAATGACGCGAATGAAGTGCTGTAGCTCATACGGTTGCGCGGAGAGGGGAACGTCTCATGAGAACACCTCTCGTACACATAGGATAGAACCGAATGGTAAACATAGCTCGGAAGGTGGATACGAACGATCGAGCAAACCAGGAAGCTGCAGCAGTAAGTGAATTTCAGTTCATGTGAGTGAACCCGAGAACAAATCTGCATCCAAGTTAACAAAACACATTCAGCCGATTCAGCACAACATTAACGACTTAAGTAGAGAATGGTGAGAAATAAATAAAGGAATAGACTACTGAGAAACCAACTGGAAGAATGAGAAAAATGGCGAGAGGTTGGGAAGCGAAATAAAGGGATGGAGATAAATCATAATCAACACTTCTAGCTAACGGGTTAGTCGACAAGTAGGCAAGGACCGGCCATCGCAATGAAGCTGCACCTTAAAGTGGTGCGATGGTTTGTGTGCCTCAGCGATCCATTGAGCTATGCTGGGTGGGGTTTTTTTGCAACTTCAGATTCACTCATACCAGATTGGTCAATGGTTAGAGGCCAGACAAATTCAGCTCCCTGGTCCTGCAGGTTGGAGGTTGGAATGAGGGTGGCTCCTTATTCCTTTGACTCCTTGTAGCCCAACGCCAAACCCGCTGTCTTGCAGTCAGACTTTTTGAACCAAAGGCTTTGGTAGAGAACACTAATCGTTCTCCAGTCTAGGCCTGAGCAACCTGACAGCCCACGCAATACAATGAATTTCTCGTCAAACAGTTTCTTGATGCTCTGGCCACCGCAGATAATAGGCAACGGTGCCCTATCTGCTGCATCGAACAGGGTGGATAAGGGTTTGGATGCTATTGCACAAGCCTTCCCGTCTTCTTATTCTCCCCTTACTCTGTTTCTCACTTACCGTCCCGTTGAAGCTTCACTTTTATCCCCCCAAATTTTCAACCCACCAATTCTCGGCCCTCTCCTAACTTGCTTCAATAGTTGCTTGTCTGTTAGTTTCAGCTCACAGGTGAACGCAGAGCGTCATTTCTGCCATGTGAACAGGCTCATGTCCAAGAAAACGGTCAAGCGCAGTTCATCGGCTTCCATTTGGATTCCTCGATCCTCCTTCAGATTGCCATGCCTCAATGTACGCGCATTGCTACAGATCGGTCAACAATAAGCACTTGCCGGAACATTAGAGACCCTCTCGATCGATATCTGCTACTTATCGGAGACCCGCCTATAAGACTCGAGCTCTGTACTCACTTTGCGATCCCTTTCAGGTGACGCCAGCAGCACTTTCTCATTGCGCCTATCCGGTGACGATGCAGCTTCGAGCACCGGCCAAGCCGGTGTTGGTATTGCCCTGAGTCCCCGAGCTGAAGCTGCTTTGGTTGACTGGATTCCAATCAGTAGCCGGATGTGTGCGGTCCGATTGGTTGGTTCGTTCAAAGCCTCAAGGAACTAACAGGTGTCTATCCGTCATCGCTGCCTACGCACCCACAAACTCTAACGATGATTCGGTAAAGGCCGATTTCTGTCGCCAACTGAACGAGCTCCTTCGCCACAGAAGAATCACTGACACTGTTGTGCTGACTGGGGATCTGAACTCCCAAGTTGAAAAATTATCCACTGATGAACTCATCTGGGCGGCCAACCTGGTGTAGGCTCCCGTAATGATAACGGTGAGCGGTTACTTCATTTGTGTGAAGATGCTCGCTTATTTCCTGCGAACACTAATTTCCGACACAGCACCCGCCGGAGGGTGACTTGGTGCCCACCAGCCTCGAACCAGCTATGGATGCAACTCGATCACATTGTGATAATTTACCGATGGAGAGGCTGCGTGCAGAACTGTCGCTCGATTTGGAGCACATGTGTGGCCACGGACCATGCACTTGTATATGGTGACCTGCGGATGCGTTTTGGCAGACGCCCACCATGACTTTGTGAGCGCACTGACACCAGCCAATTGGCGAAGCCTGCTGTTCTGAATGCCTATCAAAGTATGCTGTCATGCGAGTTGAGTAAGCGCTCACTGGATGCAGTTGAAGTTCACTGGTCTCATATTCCCCAGTCCGTACTACCAAAAGGCAAACCCTTATGTGGGATTTCTAATCGCCAACATGGACATCGTGGCTACATTGACCACATCTTCACTTTGCGTCAGTTGTTGGAGCATCGTCACATATATTGGCGGCCCACCGTTGTCGTGTTCCTCGATATCAAAGGTGCATTCGATTCGGTGGATAGACGTGCACTTTGGGACTGTCTATGCAGGAAAGGTTTACTGATGAAATATGTAAGTATTATCCGATCAGTATACGCGCGAGCTCAGGCAGAGTGAGGGCTTATGGCAAGCATTCGTCGCCCTTTAATATCTCCAGCGGTGTGAGACAAGGATGCCCGCTGTCACCTTCCCTCTTCAACTTCGCTATTGACGAAGTTATGAAAATCGCGTTTACAGGACACGACTTAGAAGGTGCGGATCTGCTCCCAGGAGAACGACTTCTTGACTTGGAGTATGCTGATGATATTGCTCTCATCTTTGACAGTTCACAAAGGTGCCAAGCGGCACTGGACAAATTGGCACTGGCTGTCAGCCGCTTCGGGTTTTGTTTTGCACCCTCGAAGTGTAAAGCGTTCCTCCAATATTTGCTTGGGCCAGCTCCTATGCTAACCCTTGGTGGGGATCAGCTAGAAGTCGTTCAAAAATTCAACTACCTGGGAAGTTGTATCAGCACCCGTGGGATTGAAGATGAGATAACGAACAGTATAGAAAAAGCTTGAAGTGCTTTTGCTAACCCTCGCCACTTATGGCGCCGGCGCGACATCACTCTTGCCCTGAAGGTTAGAGTGTACAGTGCAGCGGTACGTTCGACCTTACTGTACGGTTGCGAAAACTGGCCGCTTAAAGCAGCGGACCTGAAGAGGCTAGTTACATTCGACCACCGGTGCCTTCGCAGTTTGGCTCACATCTGGTAGGAACACCGCGTGAGCAACGAGCGTGTCCTACGCCTTGTTTACGGCACAGGAAAAGGAAATGAACCGCTCAGCACCGTTATTTCATGCACCAGGCCACGTGTTACGTATGCCAGCCCAGCGATTCCCGCGACGTGCGTTTTTTTGTGCCGGGGTGTAGATGGAAGAAGAGGGGTGGCCAAGCGATGACTTGGTCGAGAGGAATGAAGGTCCTCACTTCGAAGCTGGCCTCAGTTTGAGCATCTCAGCTCCCTGGTTGGGGTCCAAAAGACGATGAACACGTTTGGCTGGATACACTTACTGATATGGCTAGGAGCCGACCTCAGTGACGTTCCTGCTGTGAGTTTCTTTGTCCTACCCCATTACTCTTTAGCCTCCCCCTCCAACCGCGATCTCATTATTTATCATTCTATAATTTTGCACGGGAAATTATTTTTCTTTTTTTCTGCTGCACAGTAGCCGGCAGATAGCTTATCGGAACGATGCCCATCCGTTACCGGTAGCTCATCTGGCTTGAACCTGTTGCATTTTATTCCCTTTTGTCTTTTAGGTATTGCGGCACAGTAGCTGAGGTGTTTCTTACCTCTAACTAACGTGTATTGTGTGTGTGTGTGTGTGAAGCAAGGACCGGATCAAATTACAGTGACCGCACAGGTTAACACAACGGTTAGAGGGATATCGTGTAGCAACGGAATGAGAACGCGAGCATCAACCGATTTGTCAAGCGCAATTGCTACGGGGAATAAGTGCCTACAGGAAGTGAAGCTTATAAAAAACTGGATAATGTAACTGGAGGAGTATGTATTAAAAAAACGATACGGATCACGAGACTGTGAGAAGGGAAATTAAGAGCACAGATAAAAGGAATGCCTGGTTTGAATGCTCACAAACCTGTCGCGTCCAGAAAAGTGTCGGCTGAAGGGCATTCAACTTTCAAAACAAGTAGATGAGCCCCGGCGTTTGACACAGTAGCCAATGGACCCTACAAAGGACCGGAGAATAGAAACAGCAGTGAGTTAATACCAGACAGTAGGAAAGCACTGAGAAACTAGAGATGGCTGCAATGTGACGATGCGTATAGGACCGCTGAATGCTAGTCCTCCGTACAAGAGATCGACAGTTACGGAAGTAGAAGAAACTAATCGGGACGCATAGAAAATGGAGGTTAAACCGAAATGGTTATTTGGATAAGTATCTCGCTTGGATGCGCCGACGAAGAAAAGAATTATAACTGTGTCAGACCAGCCCTTAGACCATATCCTGTCAAGACACACACGCACACACACAGAGGTATAGACCGAACTGAGTCGACCTATACCACGGCGGCTGCGTAAAAGTAGGTGTTAGACACCAAGAGATCAAAAAGTAGGCGAGACCAAGATAAGGTGCTAGCCGCCATAAGTGGTATCCACAGATGATGCCATAGCCATAGCATCAAAAAGTTACAGAGGTGAGGAGAAACAAGGGGAGCATGACAATCCCCACGCAGGCCGCGTAGAACTCTGAAGGCCCATGCAAACACGAACAAAAGGCAATGTTATTAGGTGCATGTCTCGAGTGCAGAATGTATCTCAAAGCATATCAGTCAACAACAGTCGATGAGGACAGACGGAAGTTAAACGTGAAATGGCACTTCGCGTCCCTCTGTGATCGATCAAGACATGATGCGGAGCATTTTCCAAATACCTTAAGAAACTGGTCAAAAATGGGTCAGTAGATGAAATGCTGGTAAGTGGGGCACGGATGTTTTCCTGCTTTGCAACCACTACTAGTCATGCGTGGGTTAAGAAAACTGAGAGGTCGTACGCACCGACGCAGATTTGAGCCAGTGGCAGGTAAACAGGAAAGGTAGATAGATAAAGTATCAAGGCTATCTGCACCAGACGCTGAGGACAGGTGGGTCATCATCCTGTGATTCCTATCCTCAAGTGCGCTATGAAGGTAACGTCGAGTTTCGGTGTAGCTCTCTCCCATCCCTGCACTCCACGACCGACGGTTTCGTCTTGATTTAGACTCATCAGGTAGAGACAGCTGAGCTGGGAGTGGAACTCGGCGCATAGTGCTTGGCGGCTATCGTCATGATCACTAGGCCATTGAGCTCCGCGGGCAGTGTTTGACACAGCGGCTAGAAGTAGATTTTTGGGTTTTTTGGAGCACCCGCCTTGTGTCTTGGATTGCACCGCGCAATCTCATGGCGATAGCCGCCAAGCACTATGCGCCGAGTTCCACTCCCAGCTCAGCTATCTCTACCTAATGAGTCTAATGAGTCTAATGAGACGAAACCGTCGGTCGTGCAGCGCAGGGATGGGAGAGAGCCACACCGAAACCCTCCACTTCGGTGACGGTCCCAGTGACCGTATTGGCAGAGGCTGACTTCCAAGTCAACCGACGCCACTAGTGAGATTGCGCGTCGCAATCCAAGATACACGGAGGGTGCTCTAAAAAAAATAACCTCGAGTTATTACAAATTCTGATAGATAGGCTGCTCGACGTGGATGAGTGGGGGCTGAAAGTGAAACAAATCACACATCTCGGAAAGAGAACCGAGAGCAAAAGTCGACCTATGAGGGATCAGACTGATCTCAATTGCCCCTAAATTGCTTGCGTCTGTCGTTCTCCACAGACTGACTGGTGCTCGAGAAGACAAAATTCGCGAAGAGCAAGCAGGCATTCGTCGAGGTCGGGACTGCAACGAATACAACTTCACTATGCGTCAATCGTTGGAGCACCGCCATGTTTACTGGTGACCTACCGCAGTCGTGTTCCTCGACATTAAAGGTGCCTTCGACTCAGTCGATCGATGTGCCCATTGGGACCGTCTGCAGAGAAAGGGTGTGTCCGATAAATATGTAAACATTACCAAAACGCTGCACGCGCATAGTTCGGGCAGACTGAGGATACATGGTAAATTGTCGCCGCCCCTCAATACCTCCAGCAGTGTGAAACAAGGTTGCCCGCTGTCACCTTTCCTTTTTAACTTCGCTATTGACGAAGTTATGGAAACAGCATTCCATGGAAACGATCCAGGTGTGAAGCTACTTGCTGGTTAGCGATTTCTTGACTTGGAGTATGCGGACGACATTGCCCTCATATGTGACAGTGCCCAAATGTGCAGGTTGCACTGGACCGATTAGCACTGACTGTCTATTGTTTTAGGCTATGCTTGGCTCCGTCGAAATACAAAGTACTTCTCTAAGATTAGCACGCACCCATCTCTGCGCTGACCCGTGGCGGTGATCAGCCAGAAGTCGTTCAGAAATTCAAGTACCTAGGCAGCTATATTAGTGTCTGTGGCATTGAAGCGGAGATTACGAACCGTAGAGCAAAAGCTCGAGGGGCATTTGCTAATCTCCGCCACCGACGCGACAGCACTCTCACTCTGAAGGGCAGAGTTTATAGTGCAGCCGTCCGTTCAATCCTCTTATACGGGTATGAAACCTGACTCATCAGGTCGACAGACATAAAGAGGCACGTTACATTCGATCATCGCTGTCTTCGTAGCTTAGCTCATGTATGGTGAGAGCACCGCGCGAGCAATGAGCGTATTCGGCGTCGTGTATTTGATGCAGGGAGAGCGAGTGAATTGCGCAGCATCATTATATCACGCAACAGGTTCCGATGACTGTGTCACGTGTTGCGCAGGCCAGCACACCGACTCCCGTGACGTGCATTGTTTGCGCGTCGGAGGTGCGGTTGGTAAAGAAGGGAGCCAAAGCGATGATTTGGTAGAGAGGAATGAAAATCCTCACTTCAGTTTGCGCCGGTTGCTGCATCCCGATTGGCTGGCTGCGGTCCTAAGGATGGTGAACACGTTTCGTTGGATACAGTTGCTGATATGGTTAGGAGTCGACCCCAATGGTGTTTGTGTTGTGAGTTCCTTTGTCTACCCCATCTCCTGCTTAGCCTCACCCTCTGCTAAGGACCTCATTCGTATGCGGCACGAGAGCCGGCTGTCAGCTCCCCGGAACGATGTCCATGCGTCACTGGGGAATCAGCCGGTGTGCTTCTGTTTTTTGCTTTTCCTGTCTTGTGTAGTGAGACACAATAGCTGTTTTCCACCTGCAGCTAACGTGTATAATGAAGATGATGACGTTTCTTGTATAGGCAATTACTAAATCGATATTGTTCCGCCTTAGTATGCCGGAAAGTCTAGAGATTCACGTGGACGCTGACTTAGACCCAGCAGACAGAGAGAAATGCAAGTCTGCGATGATTGCACTAAAGCGACGCACGGACGATGGAGAAACAAATCACCATTTTGAAAATTTCCGGTTAGTCACCCGGATTCCTCCGCGAATACGGATCAACAGGTTCCTGATGCTTCAGCCGTGCCCAGCAGTTCCTACCACGGCCTGCGCGTAGCGTGTACTAACGTCTGTAGTCTGCTGAACAAACGCAATGAGCTGTGCTACTTTGTAACCCCGCAGCGGCCAGACGTATTAGGCCTTGCTGAGACATGGTTAAACTTTGACGTTACCACTCAAGAAGTGGAAATCAGCGGCCACTCGCAACTCCGCTGTGATAGACCATCAAATAAGCGCGGTGGCGTTCTGCTTTACATAAGGTCTTCCTTGTTGGGAGACTATTGAGCACTTACCGAAGCTTTGATTGTCCAGGTAAGAAGTTATGGTGCTTGATTCACTTCAGACGCTGTGACAGGCTCGTGGGCGTCGTATATCGCAGTCCACTGAGCCACGGCTTGGACTAGTTGCCGTATGTCCGCAACCACATGAGTCGTCTGCTATTCCTACTCATGGGCGATTTCAGGTTACCGCAAATACAGTGGCCTTAAGATTAACTACTTCCTGGCCATTTTGAAGTCGAGAGGAAGTTTGCGAAGTTTATATTTGGAACTGGGGCCACACAGCACATTAACCCGCCGACTCGCATCACAGCGCGCGCGACTCCATCGTGCTTAGACCTGCTTTTGACCAGCTGTGACCAACGTGTGTATGACATTCAAGTCTTGGAGCCCCTGGAAGCAAGTGAACACTGGATGATCATAGCCAGTTTGGAACTGCCGTTACCGTATTCTCCCTGCTGGAGCCAGCGTTCAACTACTGGAAAGCGGAAATTAATGGCCTCACTCGAGCAGCAAGTCAGATGAACCGGTCTTTACCAGAGGGTTCTTCTGTTCAAATATGTTGGACAATCTTTAGAGAGGGAGTGAAATCCTTGTGCGCCCGATTTGTACACCTCATGTTGGGCTAATAAAGCCCAATGACGACGCAGACTATGGGACAAATTAGTGAAAAGTGGCTAAAACGAGAATAACGAGGCTTACAAGGTACAGCGAAATTTCTACAGCAACGCGAAAATAAGAAACCACAGAAGCTTCGAAAAGCAGGTTGCAGCCACCGCAAAAACTACTCCCAAGAGAATCTTCACCCAAGTGAAGCGGCGCCTGAGACATGCACGCAATGTGCCAGTGTTGGAAGGCTCAGATAGACAGCCCTAATCTCGAGCACAGATGGTGCGTCCATGTTGTGTCCTCAGGGGTTCAACTTAGCAGCTTCTTGGATTGCGCGACGCGATTCAAAAGATAAACCACCGGACGAGTAGTATATTGGCGAACACAGAACAGGCCGACGTGGGATGAAAACACACCGATACAGTTCAAACCACGGGTGTGTGCTCGTTTGATTTTATAGGTCTCAAAGAAAAAAGGGACGTGTGAGTGGCGTGAAACAAGCGATAGGAACAAATGTTCTGCAACACGGAAAAACACTAGTCGACTTGTAACAGAGACTGTTCTGATACAAGGCACACGGTTACTTGTGGGAAATTGCGCACTTACTTTCCTGAACAAGTCAACTGATTTCGTTTCTGTGCGCATTTGACTTTGGTCTGTGTGAAAGTCTGTTTTTCCATGCAAGTTACAAGACTTGGCCTGAATCAGTGGCGTCAACTCGACTTGATTCTCAGACAGCGCAATTTTCCTCGGAGCAGGTCATTCGTGACCTAACACCGCCCCTTTGTTGA